GTGTGGTGTCATCACACTCTCTCTCTCTCTCTCTCTCTCTCTCTCTCTCTCTCTCTCTCTCTCTCTCTCTCTCTCTCTCTCTCTCTCTCTGTGTGTGAACGCCAACAGACAGTCTGCCCAGGATGCATTTCACTGACGCATAAAGATTCTTCACCGACTTGCTCGAAGTTCGCAACACCCTTGAGAAGGATGGTCGTGTGTGCACGTGGGAGTGTGAGAGTGTGCATGTGTCTTTGTGCATTGAACAATCACCACAGCAAACTGCAACCCCTTTTCCACCCGCAATGCACACAGCCATAACAAACTGGCACAAAGCCAAGGTGATTGACGAGTACAGGACAAGCAGCCACTATTGTTCTGGTCATCTGATTGTATCTGGATTCGATACTTGGGTCTGTATTTCAACAGTTCGTGTGTGTACCAACTGAGTGAGGCTCACCTGGCGCCAGTCAGTTCAAATGATGATATCAAAAGGCCGTCGACCCTGTTAAAAGGAAAAAAAAGGAAAAGCATCACATAGCCCCCATGACACAGAGGAGAGGAACGGTTTGGATTGTTCGCCGGCAGGTAAGCACGTAGATGGCGAGCCTAGGCCGAACAGAGATGGGTTGCAGGTACGCACGTTCAAACAGTGCAGCGATCACTCACAGTCGCCACAGGACTGGAACGGTTTGGGTACAGCCTGCTCAAACAGTGCATCGATCACTCGCAGTCGCGTGCACTGTTTCACATGGCGCGCTGCCAACAGGTAAACACAGGCAGCATGGTGTTCCACAGGTCGCACAGTTTCCACATGCAGCATGGTCTTCCACATGCAGGTCGCACAGTTTCCAAATGCAACACACACACAGGACAGGAACGCACTGTGTTTCCACATGGTCTTCCACACAGGTGCAGCCGGTTCAAACAGTGCATCAATTCAGCAGACAGTCGCACTGTTTCAGATGGCACACTGCAGGCAGCATGGATTTCCACAGATCGCACAGTTTCCACATGCCGCACACTTTCCGCATGCAGCACGGTTCTCACAAGGCCACACAGTTTCCACATGCCGCACAGTTCCGACAGCCTCCTGACAGACTTCCTTGCCTGAAACTGACACTGACGCCCGACACAACCTTTTCCGTAATCCGTAATCATCACTGTTCCTAAGAAGCTAAATTTCTCATTGATGAACCTCCTCTTCCTCTTTTTTTGTTCTTTCTTTTTTTTTTTCCTTCTTTCTTTTTTTTCCTTTTTTTGCGATGAACCTCCTTATCAAGAGATTGGCATACCACAGGGGGGAAAAAAAAAAAAAAAACATTTGCACAGCGCAGAAACATGCAGTAAACGCATGCAGACCACTTGATGGCACAGAGTGTCGTCCGCTGCATAGAGTCAAGTGTTAGAGCATACTCACACTAGGACAACATCAAATGTATCTGGCCGTAATCACGATCTACTTGGATGTACGTGGCCGCAGTTACGTCCAGAAATAAGTAAAAAAAGTCCTGATGTGAGTGTGACCTCAGAGACCGCAAACCGCAAATGCTGTTCGATGTCTGACACCGAGAGAGTATCAGGGCCATGGGATTTTATTTTATTTCTTAAGAGGCATAGGATCTCAAACACAAATGCGTTGTCTGTTTTTCTTTTTTGTAATCGCCAAAGACAATTGTGTCTGTGAGAGATGGTTGGTGTGTGCACATGTCCATGGGCCTCGCCTCACTATACAACGCTCCATATGTATCTGGAGCTCATAATCATCCCCATACATTCAAAATGTTGGACTCGTCAAAATGCACCTGGTCCACAAAGCGTCCAAATGCATGTAGAATGTTGAGTAGTGGAGCAAGGCCCCATGTGTGTGTCTTTTAACTTTTAACAATCCCCCCTCAGCAACCACTTTTCCACCCTGTTGGACTCGCCCAAATGCACCTGGCCCACAAAACGTCCGAGTGCATGTAGAATGTTAGTTGGTAGAGCGACGCCCCATGCGTGTGTGTGTGTTCACAATCTGTGTGTTTTAACAATCCCCCCTCAGCAACCACCTTTCCACCCGTGTTGCGGACCGTTCATGACAGCAAACACTATTCCAGAGCAAGCGGCCTAGCTCAGCTGGTTAGGCATGCAAGTGGCATTCAGGAGGGGTCGTGGGTTCAATCCCCACCGATCACCTGCGACAACCCTAGCTCAGATGGTTAGGCACGCAAGTGGCATTGAGGAGGGGTCGTGGGTTTACTCCCCACCGATCACCTGCGACAATCCTGGTGCCAACCAACTGAGAGACAGTTGGCTTGCTCCAAGTGGCATTCAGGAGGGGTCGTGGGTTCAATCCCCGCCGATCACCTGCGACAACCCTAGCTCAGCTGGTTAGGCACACAAGTGGCATTGAGGAGGGGTCGTGGGTTCAATCCCCACCGATCACCTGCGACAATCCTGGTGCCAACCAGCTGAGAGACAGTTGGCTTGCTCCCCCCGTTCGGTATTTCTACGTTCTTCTTCGGCAATTTCAGCAAACACTTTTTCCAGAGCAAGCGGCCTACCTTCTTCACCCAAATAGAACGCCCGATCATTAATGCTGTATTTGGCACATCTTTCAGTCCAGATACTGGTCTAATTACCGGGCGTTCTATTCGGGTGAAGACGGTCTCGCTCAGTTGGTTAGTCATGCAAGTGGCATTCAAGAGGTCATCGGTTCAATCCCCACTGACCACCTATGGCACTCTTCGTGCCAATCAACTGAGATAGTTGGCTTGCTCCCCCCGTTCAGTATTGGTAGGGTCTTTGGCCATCACGGGTGTCCGTATCTCCATGTCTGTGTGTCTGTGTCTGTGTCTGTGTGTG